AAGCGCCGCGCACTCTGCGTGTGCGTGTGCGTGTGTGCGTGTGTGACAGCGGCAGTGCCTTCCCGGCGCATCGTATTCTTCGTCATCAGCGCGCTAATCGGGAATTTGGCCGCCCGAGAGAAGGCAAAATGGCGCTCTCGCCGCAGCACCGCGCGCAAGTATTTTCTGAAGCTCCGCCCTCGCCCGTGCACCGCCTTCGTGTCTTTTCCCCTCGCCAAGTCGTCGGAAGTGAGACCTCGCGCGAGGGTAGTCCGCTCGCTTGGTGGGAACATGATTCTTATAATATGGGAGGGAGGGTGGGAATAGGTAGGCCCCGCTGACTAGTTCGACCTGACCAACTTGTGATCATCCCTCCTGCTCCGCCTCGTGCTGCTCCTCATCCCCCTCAAGCTTCCTCCTCACTTATCCTCCTCCTCCTCCTCCTCCTCCTCCTCCTCCTCCTCCTCCTCCTCCTCCTCCTCCTCCTCCACCTCTTCCTACTCCTCTCTTCCGCCTCCTCCTCCTCCTCCTCCTCCTCCTCCTCCTCCGTCTCCTCTCTCATCCTTGTCCGTCCTTCCATCCTGATCATAACTGTACCGTGCTCTTCCTCGCTCCTCCCCCTCATCATCCACATCATCGTCATCATCGTCAATATCATCCTCCTCATCATCATCACCTTATCCTCCTCCTCCTCCTCCTCCTCCTCCTCATCATCATCATCATCATCATCAGCATCATCAGCATCATCATCATCATCATCATCGTCATCATCAGCACCATCATCGTCATCAGCAGCATCATCAGCATCATCATCATCAGCAGCATCATCAGCATCATCATCAGCATCATCATCGTCACCATCATCAGCAAAATTATCATCCGCATCAGCATCAGCAGCATCAGCATCTTCATCGTTATCGTCATCGTCATCGTCACTCATCATCAGCATCATCATCATCATCGTCATCAACAGCATCATCATTACCGGTGTTAGTATTAGCATCGGCATCATCAGCATCATCATCAGCACCATTACCATGCTCATCATCGTCATCATCATCAGCAGCATCATGATCATCATCATCGTCATTATTACCATCACCATCCCCATCACCATCACCAGCGCAACCATCAGCACAAGTAGCATCAGTAATAGCATAAGCATCACCATCATCATCAGCAGCAGCATCAACATCAGACATCGTCATTATCATCATCATCACTATCATCATCAGCAGCATCGCCATCGTCATCGTCGTCATCGTCGTCATCGTCATCGTCAACATCATCATCTCACTCATCAGCATCATCATCACCATCATCATCACCATCATCATCAGCAGCATCATCACCAGTAACGTCACACACACACATATTCAACCATACAACCATCAGCAGTAGCATTGGAACTAATACAAACATCATCATCATCATCATCATCGTCATCATCATCAGCATCATCATCATCACCACTACCACCGCCATCGTTACCATCATGCTCCATACCCCACCAATTCCTTCTCTTGATCTCTTCCCTCACACCTCCTCATCAACCTCATTCTGGCCCTCCCACTCGTCCTTCTCCACATTCGAAATTCGATTCCGTCTCCTTCCCCCCTTCCTCCTCTGCAGGCTCCTGCCTGGTTCATTAGTATCGTCCGTGACGGTGCTCTAAACAGCTTCAATTCTAGTCTCATCTTCCGCCCTGCTCACTGATACCTCTTCCTGCTCTCTCCTCCTCCTCCTCCTCCTCCTCCTGCTCCTCCTCCTCAAACTCCTCCTCAAACTCCTCCTCATCATCATCCTCGTCCTCATCCTGTCCACCCCTGTACCCTTCCCGGCCAAACTCTTTGCGAGTACGCACTTGCGGTCGTAAGGCATTTGGCCGCGCAAGCCGCACTTAGCATACTAGGCATCTCTCGCCAGGCAAACTCCTCCTCCTCCTGCTCCTGCTCCTTCTTCTCCTCTTCCCCAAACTCCTCCTCCTCCTCCTCCTCCTCCTCCTCCTCCTCCTCCTCCTCCTCCTCCTCCTACCTCTTCCTTCTTCCTCGTCCACTCTCCGCCCTCCTTCTTCGTCTTTGTTCCCTCTTCCTCATCCTTCTCCTCCTTCTCCTCCTACTCCTCCTCCTCCTCCTCCTCCTCCTTCCCACCTCCCGTCGTTTCTCCTCGATCCTCATCACCCCTGTTTCTATCATCTTCCATCCTCCCTGCTCCTCCTCCTCCTCCTCCTCTTTCTCCTCCTCCTCTTCCTTCTCCCGCCCACCCTACCCTCTACCCCTCCAAAGCCTCCAGGAGGCATCCGAAAACAAGTCCAAAACCTGCGAAGGCCCAAGGCATCCGAACACCGCCATAATCCACTGGCAACCTCTGGAAGCCTCTCTCCTGGTCCTCCCTCCTCCTCCTCCTCCTCCTCCTCCTCCTCCTCGCTCCACTTCCCCGCTCCTCCCCCCCCTCCTCCTCCTCCTCCTCCTCCTCCTCCTCCTCCTCCTCCTCCTCCTCCTCCTCCTCCGTAGCAAATGTGGCTCGAAGTCGCCATTAGGCGGGACCGAAACCACGCGTGGACCCCTAGTGGTCTGGACCACTTCCCTAGGGCCCGCTGGTCACCCTGAGCCAGTTCTTTACGGTCCCAAGGCCCGCTGAGGGCCCCCGGAGGCCGAAGATAACCAATAACCAGCCGCTCCAGATTTTTCAGAGCCTCGGATCCCTGATTAGGTCGGGAATGTTCTCCTGCAGGCGGATTTTGGACAAAAAAAGAAAATAGCCCAAAAAATATCAAAAATAGTTTCAAAATAATCGAAATATCGTCCCCAGACTATTTCTTATTATTTGTGAGTACTCCTCCTGTAGAGGGACATGCCCGACTTAAATCTCTGGGGACGCGCCATCGTCGGGGTCGATGGGCCGCGGGGTGCGCTGAGGAGCGCGCTCGGACGGGGCTGATCGGATCGCCCTGCTCGGCGGGCGGGCGAGGCGCCGCGCGAAGCGTCCCCTGCAGAAGGTGGATATCCAGATAGGATTAGGTCGGGTATGTCCTCCCATAGGCGGATTTGGGAGGGAAATCTTAAATAGCTTAAACTATATTCGTAAAATATTCATTTTTTTAACGTGTATATATATATATATATATATATATATATATATATATATATAAAAAAAAAAAAAAAAAAAAAAAAAAAAAAAACGTCCCCTGACTATGTTTAACTATTTTTGAAGATTCCTCCTGTAGAGGGACACGCCCGACTTAAAAATAGGACACACGAGGATGGAGAAGGACTCTGTGCTCCGCCCCAGTCTGCCGGACGTCCGAGGCGCTCGTGAACCTCATGGTGATCATGCGCCATTTCGACGGCCATTTCGACGGGACTGCATAGGGATGCAGTGCTGGGTCGGCAATTGAGGGCGTGAAGGCCGCAGAGGCCAAGGGTGCGGGCGCGTGAGGCCCAGCTCTTCTCCTTCCCCTCCTCCTCCTCCTCCTCCTCCTCCTCCTCCTCCTCCTCCTCGTCCTGCTCCTCCTTCTCCTCCTCGCCCTGCCAGGTGCCGGGAGGAGTGTGCACTAAATGGAAATTGCCGGGCCATACCGCCCTCGAGGATTCTGTGCCGTGTGTGGGGTGGTTGCGCTTTATCCTGGGTGCATACTCTGAATGAGCTTATCATTTAACAAAGCAGTCCAAAACACTCCTCTTCCTCCTCCTAATCATCATTATCATCATCATCATAAACAACAACATCATCATCAGCCGCAGCATAGTCATACTCATAAGCATAATCAGAATCATCAACATCATCGTCATCATCAGCAGCATCATCATCGTCATCATCAGCAGCAGCATCAGCATCATCATCAACATTAACATCATCATCAACATCACCAGCAGCAACAGCAGCATCAACAGTATCATCAGCAACATCATCATCGTCGTCGTCTCATCATCATCCGCATCGTCATCATCAAAGTCATCACCATAGTCATCATCATCATCAGCAGCAGCATCACAATCATCATAATCATTGTCGTCGCCATCCTCATTAGCATGATCATCATCAGCAGCAGCAGCATCATAATCCGTATCATCAACCGCATTATCATCAGCATCAGCAGCACCATCGCCATCGTCATATTCCTGTTCCAAATTTTAATCCCAAGCATGATCATGATCACTCTTCATCTTCCCCCTCTTCCTCCCACACACCTTCCTCCTCCACTTAATCCTCCTCCCCCTCTATCACTTGTCCTTGAAGATGAACTAACCCTGTCGAACCCCCAGACGGGTCCGTATGCCGGGTCGGGCGGTTCCCCAGAGACTTCCTCACCATTTCTGATCCTGAAGCTTGAAATATGCAGCAGTCTCAAGGATAGATGGCGCGCCATTTTCGGCATGGACCTCTCGCCTTAGCGCCGCACACACATTCGTTTTCAAAATGTGGCTCCCTCCTCAGAGCCGTGCACATTCGCCCTAAAAATTTGCAACAACTTCAATTATTCGAAAGGTTGGAGTCCCAGGAGTCGTGTTCGGGCACGACTTTGGACTATCATGGCGCAACACTCAAGTGGATTAGTGGTCGTCCCAGGAATTATGTCTTGGCACGATTCAGGGTTGTCAGGACGCGACAGTCACGTTGACACGCGGCGCTACAGTCCCAGATATTTCGTTCTGGCACGATTTAGGATTCGCAAATAATCTGAGATATTGAGAGGTGCCCGAATCACATCAAATAACATGTGCAACTGTTGTTTATTATTTTTGTCCTGGCGAGGCAAATCCTTTCTGAAAGTTTTGGGGGGTCAAAGCCTTCCTTCTTTGAGATGATTCACAGTTGTCTTTCGATGGGCAACGCCCTGCAATGAAAAAATTCTGGTAGGGACCTCCATAAGGGGGAACTTGGAGGGAGGGCTTACTGAAACATCGTTGATGCGTCTTGGGTTTCCACTGGCCACTCCTCGTCCTCCTCCGACGCCGCCGCCGACGACGACTACGACAACGACGACAACGTCGACGACGACGGCACGGGCGGAGAGAGGCCTGTGTTCGGGGATAAGGCGGTCGACCGTCCTGACCGGGCACCCGACGTGCTGGGAGGACGGGTCCTCCCGGCCCGCACGCGTGCGGCTTCGCCAGCGAGGAGCGAGGAGAAAGGAGGTCCCAGACCCCCTCGCTTCTTCAAAAAACATCGCGACGGGAGGCCTGTCGCGATTTTCGGTCCCTGGGATCCCTGGCTGGGCCCTCGGGGCGTCAAAAAGCAATTCTTGGTGAATAACTAGTCCAAGGGAAGAGGTTCAGACCTCTGGGGGTCCACGTCGTGAAAAAAAACACTTGGGGGGTATGGGGGACAGGTGGGAGGACGGCGAGGAGCGAGAGAGGGGAGAGGAGGCATCGAAAATACACTTGGCCGTGAGAGCCCAGCAAAGCGGGCGAACCGCGCGGAAGAGCTTGCCGCGCGGGTCGTGCGCTACTGCGTCGAGGCGGGTGGCAAAGAAGTGCTATCACAGTCCAGCGCTTCAGGAATTCGCTGGAACCAGCTGGTGCCCGACAATGTGGTAGCCCGGCGTCTCAGGAGGAGGAGGAGGAGGAGACAGGGAGGGGGGGGGAGAGGGAGGCGTGGAAGTGTTTTAGGATTGCCGCGGTTCCCTGCTCCCTCCTCCTCCTCCTCCTTCTCCTCCTCCTCCTCCTCCTTCTCCTCCTCCTCCTCCTGCCCCTGCTCCTCTGGAGGGGAACGTTGGGGAGGAACCAGCTCAAGGGAAACCTCGACCTGGAAACGGAGCTACATCGCCGATATATCACGAATCCGCACGCTTCTAGGCGAGGCGAGTTATAGAGCCCCTCTTTGCGATGAGTAGGCGATTGGGGGTCGATGCTGGCTCCACCCTAACTGCCGTTTGGCTTTCCGGTCATAGATCGGTTTTCCAGCGACCGTTCGGGACGATCAGGGCACCCAACGCCCTCGGCAAGGCGCAGCTGCTGGAGAGTATCCCGAGCCTGGCGAACCGCCGAGAACAAACAAAAACGTACGAAAACCGATCCCCCCCAGAGCCTATCCGCCGCCTCACGTTGCTCTTGACTCATCCTTCGTCCTCGTCCTCCTCCTCCTCCTCGGCCGCCGCGTCCTCCCCCTCCATTATTCTTTCCGTTTCCTTGCGAATAACTCCTCCCTGTCGCACCCCGAGGCCAGTCGGACGGGCGGGCCAGGCACTTCGCCTGAGAATTCTCTACCATTTCTGAGGCAGAAGCTTCAACACTGGCAATAGTTTCACAAATTGAGGGCGGGCCGCTTCCAAAAGTAGGCTCTCGCTTCAGCGCAGCGCACATTCGTTTCAAAATGTTGCAGGAGCTTCACGGATTGAGGGCGGATCAAATGTGGCTCTCGCGTTCGCGCGGCACACATTCATTCGATGCAAGCGTTTGCAAGAGCTTCACGGATTGAGGGCGGTTCCTCTCAAAATTGAAAGAGTGGCTCTCGCCGCAGCGCTGCGCACACGAGCTACAAACATTGCCAGAGCTTCACGGACTCAGGGCGGTTCCCTTTCGAACAAATGTTTTCGCTTTAGCACCACGCATTTTCGTTTCAAAAATTTGAAAGAATTTCGGTGGTTCTTATGGCTAACACCAAACACGGTCTCAGAACAATTCAGGACTGTCAGGTCGCAACAGTTTCGTTGATGCGTGGTGTCGAAGTCACAGGAATTGAGTTCGGGCACGATTCAGGATTGTCAGGAAGCAGCAACATGCCTGGCTCGTGGCGCTGAAATCCTGAGAATGGTGTTTTGGTGAACTTCTGGATTTTCACACGGCTGCCCCCTCACAGAACACTTCCCTCAGTGGATATGAGCCCTTGTATGGGGCCTATGTAAGGGTGGATTGGAAGGACGGTGTACTCCAACATCGTTGATGACTCTTGGGTTTACACGGGTCCGCCTCCTCCTCCTCCTCCTCCACCTTCTCCTCCTCCTCTTCGTCTGCCTCGTCCAACTCCTACCCCCTCTTCCTGTTCCCTGTCTCCTCTGCCGCCTCCTCCTGTTCCTCCCCTCCTCCTCCTCCTCCTCCTCCTCCTCCTCCTCCTCCTCCTCCTCCTCCTCCTCCTCCTCCTCCTCCTCCTCCTCCTCTTCCTCCTCCTCCTCCTCCCGGTCCTCCTCCTCCTCCTCCTCCTGCCTCTCCCTCCTCCTCCTCCTGCTCCTCCTCCTCCTCCTCGTCCTCCTCCTCCTTCTCCTCCTCCTCCTCCTCCTCTCCTCCTCCTCCTCTCCTCCTCCTCCTCCTCCTCCTCCTTCCTCTTCCTCCTCCTCCTCCTCCTCCTCCTCCTCCTCCTCCTCCTCATCATCATCATCATCCGTTTCCTCCTCCGTCCGGCGGCGCGGGCCCCGCGGCTGGCGCGCGTTGGTCGGGAGCCGGCAGACACCTCATCTGCCCCCCCCCGCCGGCTGTGTTGGACAGCAGCCACTCCCAAGGGGGGGGTCTGCCAGCCAGGAGCGCAGCCGGCACCGCGAGGATGATGGAGCCGGCATCCCTGCGCTTGCCGCCGCCGCCTGGCGCCGCCAGCCGCCGCCTGGCCCACTGGCGCTCCAGGGCAGCGTTCGCAGCCCCACGGCGCGGCGTCGCCCCCGCCGCCGCGCACTGCAATCCCCAGCGCTGCCAGCCTCCGCCGCGGTTGCCCAGCGCCCCTGCGAACCCCGCCGGCGTCTTCGCTGTTTAGCGCCACCTTGCGTAGCAGCGCGCTGATGAGCGCCACGCAGGCGTGCGGCAGCTCCCCGGGCTGCGCGCCCTCGGGAAGATCGCGCACCTGCGCCAGCAGCCACTGCCGCGCCTGCCAGGCGGCATGAAGTCTCCATGGCGAACGCAGTCCTGGATATTTCTCGTTTTTTTCGAGCTCGGCCCCGCGCGCACCCTTGCCTGGCCGTCGCGCCGCGGCCCGGGGCGCCGTTTCGTCGCTGGCCGCTGGGTGGCCGACCGTCACATCCAACCACCAGGGGCCGTCCGCCTTCGCGTACTGGACGTCCAGCACAGCGCGTTCCAGGACCAGCGGCCTGGGCCCTTCTGCTGGCCGCCGCGCGCGGTCCCTGTCCCAAGACGGAAATCGTTCCTCGCAATGGGGCGCACAGTGCCGCCACCTCCCCGCAAGGCTCCCCAGCGTCTTCTCCAGGTCGCCATGGCGCTTCACGACGCCCCCGCCAGAGTGGAAAGCGCAGGCGTGGTAACCGTCTTCGTCAAGCGGGACCCCACAGGTGGCGCCACCCGAAGTCTCGTTGCAGCACGTGGCTGAGGCCCGCGCCAGCTCTGCGAGCGAACACTCTCGCGGCGGCAGCTGCAGGCTGCGGCGGAGAGAGGTGCTCAAGTCCACGTCCTCAAGGGCGCAGAAGGGTTTCCGCCGGGCCCCCCCCCCAGACAAAAAGGTGGCCCTTCGAAGATCCACTCGTTGCTTGGCAGCAGCCTGACTTGTCTTGTGGATCATCGCAACGATCATAGTATGTCGCGTCTCCTCGCGGAATAATGCGGCGGCCAGCGGGGCTCCCGCGATAGGCTCGGCGCCCTGGCGCGCCAGGTTTGCGCGCGCCTCTGCGATCTTCGCGCGCGCCCGCGGGAGCGTCACCAGAGCGTTTGCAAGCGAGGCCGCATCGAGGCTGCGCTTCACCTCGCCAGCCGCCTGCGTCCAGGCCGCCCAGTACGCAGCCGCCCTGCGCGGCCGGCAAGCCCAGCAGGTCGCAAGCCTCGGGCCCGAGCGGTCGCTCCACCAGGTCCTCCTCTTCCTCCTCATCTTCCTCCTCCTCCTTTTCCTCCTCCTCCACCTCCTTTTTCCTCCTCCTCCTCCTCCTCCTCCTCCTCGTCCTCCTCCTCCTCCTCCTCCTCCTCCTCCTCCTACTACTACTACTACTACTCCTCTTACTGCTCCTACTCCTCCCCCTCCTCTGTTTGCTCCCTCCTCCTTCCCCGCCCTCACTACTTGCGCTCGTGCCTCACGACGCTGCAGCGCGGTGTGCGATGCCGTTGTCCACCCCATGGCAGCCAGCCTCGTCCTCGTCCTCGTCCTCGCCCTCGCCCTTGTCCTCCTCCGCCTCCTCCACCTCCTCTTCATCTTCCTCCTCCCGCTCCTCCTCCTCCTCCTCCTCCTCCTCCTCCTCTCCTCCTCCTCCTCCTCCTCCTCATCATCATCATCATCATCATCATCATCAGCATCATCACCGTCATCCGCATCATCCTCATCCTCATCCTCATCCTCATCATCATCATCACCACCACCATCATCAGCATCATCATCATCAGCATCATCATCAGCAGCAGCAGAATCGTCATCAGCCTCATCATCAGCATCATCATCAGCATCATCAGCATCAGCAGCATCAGCATCATCATCATAATCAGCATCAGCCTCATCATGATCAGCATCCTCATCATCACCAAAATAATCATCAGTAACATCAACAACAACATCATCATCATCATCAGCATCATCATCACCATGAGGCGTTGCCTGCCAGCGCTCCGACAAGGGGAGCAGCCGCCTAGCCCCCCCACAACACCGGCAGGCAAGTCAAATGCAACACTGGCAGGCAAGCCCAAGTCCAAGGCCTGTCGGTGCATTTAGCAAGCGCAACCTGCAGGCCTCGCACTGCGCCGCCAGCGTTTTCGCACACGTGCTCCAGGTTCGCCTACAGCCAGCACGAATCGTATCATCATCATCATCATCATCATCATCATCATCATCATCATCATCATCATCATCATCATCATCAGCATCATCAGCAGCAGCAGCAGCATCAGCATCAACATCAACATCAACATCATCATCATCATCATCATCATCATCATCATCATCATCATCATCATCATCATCATCGTCATCGTCATCAGCATCAGCATCAGCATCATCATCATCAGCAGCAGCAGCAGCATCAGCATCAACATCAACATCAACATCATCAGCATCATCATCATCATCATCGTCATCAGCATCAGCATCAGCATCATCATCATCAGCAGCAGCATCATCATCAGCACCATCATCCCTCTCCTCCTCCTCCTCGTCCTCCTCCTGATACTACTGCTACTACTACTGCTACTACTACTACTACTACTACTACTACTACGACTACTACTACTA